TTTATTCAAAGATACCCCATGCGGGATCAATAAAGATCATTCAGAAATGACCCAGACGGGACATCTCCGTCTGAGGTTCCATTAAATGGTTATCGGAAACCAAGGATGCCTCAAGCGTTAATTGTTGAGGGTTGCTTAAAGACCCCCCAGACGGCATGAGAGCCAGCTAAGGGTATTCAAAGAGCAGGTCATGAGCAAGCAATGAACACCATTGCTCAAACACCCCCCAGGCGGTATAAGCCCGGCTAAGGGTGCGAAGGATCCAAGTCTTGGAGCATAGCTTGCATATACCCCAGATGGTCCATAACCATTTGTGGGTCCAGTTTCGAAGAGCAGTTATCTGAAGACACCCCAGATGGTCCAAAACCGTCTGTGGGTCTGGATTTGAGGAATCTGGTTTGAAGATACCCCAGGCGGCTCCTTGCCGTCTGAGGATCTATGAAATGAGTTTTTTGATAGGAAATTGTTTGAAGATGGCCCAGACGGGATTTTTCCGGTTGAGGGTCTATTGGATGCCAAATATTGTCTGAAGATGCCCCAAACGGCATATACCCGTCTGTGGGTCTTCTGAATGCAATTTCTTGAAGACCATTGATTACAGATATCACAGGCGGTATATCGCCAACTGTGGTCCTAGGAATGCATTATTAAAAAGTCAAGGTTTGAAGGTACCCCAGACGGTCCAAACCGTCTGTGGGTCTATCATTTGAAGAGCAAGGTTTGAAGATGCCCCAGACGACATGTAACCGTCTGTAGGTCTTTTGAGTGCAATTCCATGGAAACCAGTCTAAAGATGCATAGGCGGTATTCCACCGTCTGTGGGGCTATAGTATGCATTCAGCGGATTGTCCATTGTTTAAGGATACCTCAGACGGTCCATCACCGTCTGAGGGTCTATCTTTGAGGATCATGGTTTGAAGATTCCCCAGACGGTCCACACCGTCTGTGGGTCTACCAAATGCAAAACATGAAAAGGGCTTATGGAGTCCCAGACGGTGTATGACCGTCTGTGGTTCTACTCAAGCTAAGAAAGAAAATCAAGTAAGACGGTACCTGGGTGAATTAAGTGAAGAAGTCCTCAACCGGTATCTGTATGCGCTTGAATGAAGCAACTGGTTGCCCAAATTAGCAACCGGTGTCAGAGCTCTCAAGAAATTTCTGAAAAAATTTGTAAAGTGAAGAGGAGAGAGGGGGTACGCCTCAATTTATAGGCAAAGACCAGAAGGCGAATCGCCACCTTCAACCTTAACTTTTCAAAATTTGAATCCAAGAGAGAGAGGCGAGAAGCAACTCAAACGTCGCCTCCCCCGTGCCTGACACCTGTCACAGGTGACACGTGGCTACGCCACGTCACACCTGTGAGGGGCAAATGTTTAGGGTAAAAATACCCTATGCCACATGGCCCAGTAGAATCATGACACGTGGAAGCCCACCAGAGGCCCAACGGGATCCAATCGGATGTTGACACGTGGCATCAAAACCCTAATCAGGGAACATGTCTCCCCCACTATAAATAGAGGAATCCTCCTCATTTATTAGGATTCATAAATGGATACAAAAAACCCAAGCAATATTAATTGCGGAATCTGTTTGAATCAGTGAGAAATACCAATTTACTTTCCTCCCGTTTACCCATCCGTAAATCATACTAACTTGATTGTTGGAGGCGGAACTCCACCCAACCGGAGTTTCGTGGTTTTGCAGGTACAGAAGTCAGGCGCGCATACTCCGTATTGTAACTCTCCCGAGGGACTAAAACACCCGAAACAACATACAAAAACAAAAACAAGCCCCCACTCTTTGATATTGGGAGGTTTCAATATTATTAGCCTTTCCAAATTAAATTGATGGATGGGGAGCTACTTCCAATGGTGGGAAGGTCCCCACTTTCACTTTTTAACAAATGGGGAGCAAAAAATACAACCAATGTAGATGCTCTTAGGGGCAGATATTCACTAGGAAAAACACAAGACTAAGGTTCTATTCATTTCGCCTTATTTTTGTTGAATTGAAATTATTTTGGGAAATTCTCAATGGTAACACTAAACTTTCTAATTTTCTCAATGGTGAACACTAAAAATTTTAATTATCCGTGGTAAACCTCAATTTGTTATATTAAACTAATTGTAACATTAATGATGTTTTTAGGTTAAAGTCTAACCATGGTTAACGATTTAAAAAAAAACACGTTTGTTTCCTAAATTGCCCCCAATTAAATCCCTTCGCCCACTTATGTCTAATAAAAAATGATGAGAGTATTAAAACCTTCCATCTTCTTCATCTTCTGCACTTCAAAAATCAAAGAGTGAGGAATTCGTATATCATTTGCTGAGCGGAAAAATTGGGGCTGTTAATTTCTAGGTTTTGGGTGTTTAGATTGTAGTAATTTCTCAATCGTAAAGAGATAAACTGAGGGGATTTTTAGGGAAGTTTTCTGGAAATTTTTACGACGATTTGGCTCAAATTTGCTCGACGATTGTTTATTTGTAAACAAAGTTCGATCTTTTGAAGCTATACACCACTAATAGTGCCAATTGAAGTCAAGTATGTTTTAACTTGTGCTTTACATTGTGTTATGCTCTGTTTTTGGGTTTAATATGTAATGCGGGTGATTTTGATGGTGAATTATGGCGTATTGATAGTCTAAATTGTTGGAGTTGATATCTTTACTGGTGTATGTGTTAGAATTGCATGATTTTGTTGTAAACGTTGTTGGCATTGTTTGGTTGCTGTGATTTCTGTGTAGGGTATTATTATTACACAAGTAGTGATTAGTTCTTGTTTATTTGTGTGGTTGTTGCAGAATGGGTGATACTATAGTGCTATAATTTCAATATAGGGGTAAAGATGTTTCCGTTTTGGTTGATGATATAGATAAGGTGAATTTGATAGACCTTATTGTAGAGTATTGGGAAAAATCACAAGAAAGGAATGTTGAAATACCCCAAAATCCCACATTTAAGTACGTGTATAAAATGAAGCATGTGAATCTTGAGAGTGATAGTGATTTGATGAAAACGTTTGCAAACTTGGCTAATAAGAAAGAGATTTATATATGGGTTGGGGATGGTCTGAAGGACATTAAGGTTGTTGCAGCAGCTAGGTCACTGGTGAAGGGAAAGCATCCAGTTGTTGAGCCTGAAATTACTAGTGTTAGGAAAAAACTCACCCCTAGGAAGAAGAAAGTGCCTGATTTGATTGAAGCTGAAGTGGTTAGTAAGTCTGAATTTGATAAGCATGTTCAGGGGTTAGGCAAAGCACCTATAGTTTAACCTGAGGTTCTAAATTATGATCCAGATGAAACTTGGGCTAACATTGAATAAAGATAGGATGAGATTGAGAGAGAGTGTGTGTGAGAGAGACAGAAAGGGGTACAAGGAGAGGGTCTGTAGAGGGAGAGCTGTTGGGAGAGGGTCTGGTGGAGGGAGAGGTGTTGGGAGAGGAAGTGGTGCTGATAGAGGGACAAAAATTGGCATGGGGAGAGGGACAGAAACTAGGAGAGGGAGAGGTAGAGGGAGGGTGATAGGCTATAGTAGTATCACCTAATCAAAAGCAATTCCTAAAACCACTAACTAATATAGATAGGGAAGTAAGGTCAAATCCATAGGGAAACAATGTTCTTTTATTCCTAATGAATTATTTTAATCGTGCAAAATTATCAAGAAACAAGTAAGAATTGTAATAATTATACTACGACAATAATTAAACTAAGGGAATAATCAATAATAAAAGCCTAGGGTCATAGGTTCACCAACAATTAATACTCCGGGATAAAACATAACAATCAATTATCAATGCATGAATTAACCAGATTATAAAGGGCTTTCGCTACGTATTATAATCACATAATTAATCTATCGGTATTAAATCGCATCTCTTGAATCTTGACTTAACCATTTATAAATTAGCCTGCCTATTGAAACTAAGCCTAAACAACAATTCTCATATGTCGAATGTCAAATCAATATTGCGTAACTCATACAATTAAACCAGCGGTAATCTAATTGCATAACATTAAATCAATCAATAGGAAATTAATCTAAAACATTAACAATCAACAATAATAAGTCGTCCCCTCATATTATTTACGGATCTCCAAGACTCTAGAAATAAACTAATCGCACATAATTAAAACTAAACTTACCAAAGCAATTAAATTAAACATAATAAAAACGATGATGATAAAAACTGATATTAAAGAAAAATACCAAAGTGAAGTCAACGATAATAATCAAACAAAAGTAAAACAATAGTAATCTTGCATAAACCAAAAAGTAATAAAACTAATTAAAAGCTGCTAATGAAAAGAACTAAGCTAATGAAAACGTAAGAAAAGAAAAACAACCATACTAATACTCTTGCATGAAAACGAAATTGACGAAAAGCGAATAAAAGATACGGAGTAATAATCCTTATAATCCTAGTAAGGAATCTAATTAAGTGCCTAAAAACCAAACTAACTAATAATCAAAAGCTACAAAATTAATCTAATAAAACTTAAAGAAAGGTCTGTAAAAACTAATAGGCTAGTCTACATGAAAATAAAGCTGCCCCCTCATACTTCCGTAATTGGGTATGTATAATATACGAAGACCAACAATCCAGTATTGCGGTAGCAATAGGTGAGCGCGCTCTGTCGGGCCACGATTAGCTCGATCGGGCCCGGTGTTTTAACTAGTCCAGCAGCATCCTCTTAGGAATGGGCTTCTTATTTGAGCCCAAATCTTTAACTTGCTTGATCCGTGATACTTACAAATTTTTGCCTAGACTCTAGGGTAGCCAGCTTCTCCTACACCCCCATGCTACTACGTCGTTTTATATTGAACCATTCTGCCATTTTTTTTCTTCATCTTTTTTCATTTTTGTTAACTTTCTATTCAAGCAACTATATAATGATTTTCTTAACCTAATTTCCATTTTATTTATCTCATATTTTACTTATTTCATTTTCTCTCTCCTGCATTTTTTATTTTTCCCCCAATTTTTCTCTCTCTTCTTCCATGGAAATTTCTAGCTCAATTGCGTTTGATCGTGACAGTGATTCTAGCTTAATTGCTTTTGATCGTGATTGTGATTCTATTTTTCCTGCTGGAGTTGGTTTAGTCGACTCGTTTTCGAAACAATGTGAGTAATTTTTTCCTCAATCATTCGATTTTGATTATGCTCTGTTTTTCGCGTGTAATAGTTCGATTTTGATTTTTGATTTCATAGTTTTGCTAATTGTATGAACTATAGTTTATATAATGCTCAATTATAATTTTTGATTTTATTGTTTAGCTAATTGTTATTGCTTATTGTATGAATTAAGACCAAAATTATGGTCGATTATAATTTTTGATTTCATTTTTATTTATGATATTTTTAATTTATAGTTTGTGATGTATTGTTGTGATTTTATTGTTTTTCTTTGTAATGTTGTTATTCGATTGATGTTTTTTTCCAGTTTTCTGCATTTTAATGATTGTCTATAGTTTTATAAAATTTGACATTCAATTAATGCTCATGTATGTTAGATTATATGTACATTTACGTTAACATAGGTGTAATTACTGTAATTTACATTTATCTATGTAATCATAAATGTTCATTTATATGTTTTATTATCATTTTGATATATGTTCATTTATGTAATGATAAATGATCATTAACAGTTTACATGTGGTTATTGTACATTATTGCTATTATTTGTGTTTATTTGTTACATTTTAATATTGCAGTGGAAAAAAAGAATGCTATTTTATTTGAGGAAGCAGCTAGTTCTGAATTTTACGGGAAACAATTTCCTTCTGAAGATGTGGCTTATGAAATGTTTAATGAATATGAATTTAGAAAGGGCTTTGGAATTAGAATTGGAAAAAGTAAGAGGCGAAGAGATGATTCATTCTCTATGAAAAGATTTGTTTGTACAAATGAGGGTTTTAAAGATGATAAGTGCAGGAATAATAGGCTGTATGAGAGACTTAACATAAGGACTGCTTGCTTAGCTTTTGTGCAGTTTAGTATTGACCGTTCAGGTGTATATACATGTACAAGACATGAGATGGTTCATAATCATGAAATGATTCCTGTTGACAAGAGACATTTAATAAGGTCTCAAAGGGATATTTCTAAGGAACATATTAATTTCATTTCTACACTTAGATTGAGTGGAGTTAAAGTTTCTGATTCTTTGAGAGCTTTGAAGAAGGAGGTTGGAGGGTCTCCTAACCTTTGTTTTACAGCTCCTGATTCTTATAATGCTATTTCTGTTGAAAAGACAGCTAAACTTGGGGGAGGTGACAACAATCAACTAATCAAATTTTTTGCTAAGAGACAAATTGATGAAGCAGATTTCTATTATGATTTTGAACAAGATGAAAATGGTGCATTGGTTAATTTCTTTTGGAGAGATGGAAGGATGATGAGAGATTATCATTACTTTGGTGATTTGTTAGTTTTTGATACTACTTATAGGACTAACAAATATGGTATGATTTGTGCTCCATTTGTGGGTATGAATCATCATGCAAATAATGTGATGTTTGGCATGGGATTTATACTTAATGAAAGAACAGAATCATTTGAGTGGTTATTTGATACTTTTCTAACTTCTATGGGAAGGAGAAGTCCTATTACTATTATGACTGATCAAGCTCAAGCAATTGCAGCTGGGATAAGAAATATTTTCCCCAAAGGTGTTCATCATAGATTATGTGTGTGGCATATTAAACAAAATTCTAAGAAACACATTGGGGCGTTGAGAGCTTTGGAGTGTTTCACTGATTTATTTGGTTATTTACTGAAGTATTGTGAAACTCCACCAGAATTTGAGCATTATTGGAAAAGGTACTTCTGCTTTATACTTGTTTAGCTTCTTAAATAATTTTTACAGAAATGAACATTTAGTTTTTTATAAATGTTTATTTATAATGATCATAACTGTTATGCTTAATGATCATGTTTCATTTACAGAATGTTGTTGAAATATGACTGTGCAAATGTTGATTGGTTGAATGATTTGTATAAAATCAAAGAGATGTGGTGTCCAGTTTTTTCAAAGAAATTTTGGTCAGGAGGTGTGCTTTCATCTCAACGTAGTGAGACAACTAACAAATCAGTTTCTCAAAGGCTTAACAAGACACAAGGTCTATGTGATTTCTATCAAGTGTTTCTCGATGTGGTTCAAGAGTGGAGAAGCAAAGAAAAAGGGAGAGATTATAATACAATCAGAGGTAATCGTCATTTGGCCTTTGCATACATTGGGATTCTTGTTCATGCTAGATCATTGTATACTATTCAAGCTTATGTGCTTTTTGAGGAAGAGTTCATTAAGGGTACTGCTTGTGATCATAAGGATGCTGGTGTGAATTTTCCTGAATATTATTATCATTTGTGGAGACCTGGGAAAGATATGATCAAGCACGAGGTTGTTTTTAATAAAGAAACACATGCAATATGTTGTACATGCATGTTGTTTAGTGAAATGGGTTTGCTTTGTTGTCATGCTCTTCGAATTTATCATATGAATTGTGTTCATAAGATTCCAGATGACTATATATGTAAGAGGTGGACTAAGGCTGCTATGTGTAGTCATGGCCTTGATGAACCTACAATGAAAACCAATGTAGTATCTACAAGTGTTTGGAGGACACAAACACTAAGGAAATTTGTTAAGTTGGTAACAAGTTGTCAACACTCTTTGAATGCTAGAGCAGAGGTTGAAAGTTATTTCAATATTTTAAAAGAAAAGATTGAGAGTGTTACTGGTACTATTGATTTTAATGAACCGGTTGAAGGTATTGAAATTGTTGATCATGAAGTTAAGAATCCGGCAAAATCAAGACCTATTGGAGAGAGGAATTATAGGCCTAAGAGTAATTTAGAGAAGGCTTATAACAAAGCCAGGGGTCAGTGGTTGAAGAAAAAGTCAGTATACACTCCTTATAAAAGATCTAAAGGTCAACCAGTAGTTCAGGTAATAATGCACATTTATGTTTTTGTTATTGATCATTTATGTTCAAGAATTGAACATTTTTGTTTTGCCTTAGGAATTGGACGAGAATGGGTGTCTTATATCTTATGCTAATTCTTTGGCTGATCCTAATGAGTTAATTGTGATTGAAGATCCAAGTGCTCAGGTAAAAACTTATTTTCTTTTTTATTTTATCTGTTTTTATCAAATTCTTTAGAATATAAAACATTTTTACTTTTAATTTTTTTTCAAGGTTTGTAATAAAAAGACTGCCATTGTAGAAGATATCCCTTCAGATGATAGTGTTTCAAATGACTTTGAACAGGTATTATGTAAATGATTATGTATGTAATTGTAGTTGTTCATTTTAGTAGTTTAAGTTGTGATTATAATGTTTTTATAATTTTCATTTTATTATAGGAATATGGATATAGCTCTATGCAATCAAACGTTACTGTTGATCCAGACATATCTTCTATTGTTAAGGTGAAATATTAATCATCTACCTTTTAATTTTGTATAAGGTCATTATGAATTTTGAATTTGATCATTAATTATTTTAATTTTGATCATTAGGGTAAAACAACTGCAATTGCTCATGATGTTGATAATTTTCCAACAAGTTCTCAATTGCCACCAAAGAAACCAAGAAATGTACAATTTCCCACAGTTGTGCATGCTCAAATCAGTGCTCAAGCTCCTTCTAAAGTTTCTAGCATTGTTCAAAATCCTCCAAAAGCTCCAAGAAATGTTCAAGTTCGTTCTAGTGTTCCGAAGAAAGTTCAAGCTCCTTCTAATGTTCCAAGAAGTACTCAAGGCTGTTTTCGGAATGTTCAAGTTGATTCTAGTATTTCAAGAAATGTGCATGATGTTCCTAATGTTCCAAGAAGTACTCAAGGAAATTCAAGGAATGTGCAAGTTTCTCCTAGTGTTTCAAGGAATGTTCTACTTTCTCCTAGTGTTTCAATGAATGTTCAAGGATCTCCTACTGTTTCAAGAAGTACTCAAGGAGGTTCTCCACAGATTTCAACCAAATATGATAGGTTATTAGCGTTTTTTGATACTAGTGTGGCTAAGAGATTGACTACAAATGGTAAATAAGAGAGTAAATCAATATGCAATTATGTTTTGGTGTTTAACTATCAACATTTTTAGTTGTCTCAACTTTATAGAGATTCAAGTGCTTTAAGTTTTTTATATTTTGATTTATTAAGTAATTTGAATCTTTTTTTTCAAACTATTCTTAAATGTTCTATAAATGATTATTTTTGCTTTTGGAAGTGATCATATACTATTTTAAATAGTAAGAACCATTATTAAATTGGAATAATTATATTAGATGATTTAAAACTGGCAATTATAATGTAACACTTTACTATTTGTAAATATTAAAAATATAATAAATTTTGTCTTTACTTGAACAACAACAAACACTTATGTCCATACAAATACTGAAAGCAAGTATGATCATATATATGTCTATATATGAACATATTGTATTAAGCTTGTGCAAATCTTCTTGCTGCTCTTCTATTGTTCTGTGACTGCCTGTTTCCTTCATTCAGCATTAGTTCAGCAGTGTATTGTACTCTGAGCTTTCTGATTTGGTTCACCTGTTCCAAGAAAATAATTTATTATAAACATGAACATTAATGGGATATAAATGATCATTATGTATTATAAAATGATCATGAAGTATATTTTTTTGTTTTGTTGAAATTTACTTACATTGTTTGGTTTTAGGTCACAAACCCATTCTTCATTGGGATCAGCAGTGAAAGTTTCCATATGTTTCATAATGTAAACTCCACAGTTGGTGTAATCTTCGTTGCTCCTCCACTTCATTTTTTGCAAAACCACCTTATATTTCTCAATAGAATCTGCATCTTCATACCCCAACCCTTTCAAATATTCTGCATATCCTTTTAACTGCAACATATACAGAAAAAAAAATTCAAAGGGATCATATTAATATTGATCATTTTAATTTTCAATATTGATCATCTTGTATAAACAAATTGATCATTTATATATCTATTAAACAATATACTTACCACCAATTGGGGTTGGTTTTCATACTTTGTTGCAATTGTTTGATGTTTTGGCAGTTTCCTGTTGTCAATTATATGCATTGTCTCATTGATATGATCAATGCATAGAAGATAGAAATGTGCATATATGGCCACTGGAAAAAAAATCTGTACATAGTACACAATATTATTATATATACACATTAATGTTAATGAACATATTATAATTCCATATTGTTCATTAATACCTGTTGATATCCAACTGCACTCTTGATTTTGTATAACCTCAATTCATTTGTTATTCTTTCTTTGAAGTATGCAATTCTAAGCTCCATTGATGATCCTTCAGGACACACTGTATTTGCATACATAATTTGCTGCAAATAATGCACAAGGATCATTTTAACATTCATAATGATCATCTAGTATAAGTGAATTGATCATTTTAGTACACCAATGTATACATGTGTAATTTCAATAAAGACTTACATGTGGAAATGTTGAAAAGTATAACTTGTTCTTTGACCTTTTTTGATTCAGAAGTACTGCCCATGAATCGATCACATTGTTAACTACTAATGTATCCCCTTCAAGAGTTTTCATCTCTTCCCTATTGATCGAATTCACTCCATCATAGTATAGTAGCTCACTGCAAAATATCAATTTTTTAAATTTTATGAGTTTACAACAAACATAATGTTAAAGTTTTAATGAAGTAAGTGATGTATACCTTTGATCTTTTCCACTATAAGCATAGTCTGTTACAAGTTTGTTCATTGTGTCTTCATCTTTGAACAAATCCTTGTACTTGACCATGTATGGAGATCGGAAAGCAAGAGGAACATTTGGGATTTCCCTTTGTGGCCTAGTTAATGTGACCATATATTAATACAAATATGAATTTTTTTAATAATGAACAAATAATTTATATAAAGAACAAATAGTAATACCTTATCTCTTTTTCCTTTGCAATCTCAGTTTTTGCCTTCTTAGCTTCTCTTGATTTTTTTCTTTCCAAAGTCTTCTCTCTGTCACTGAATAAATATTGAATTATGAATGATCATTTAGTATATTGATAATGAACATTATAAATCTATACACATGTAAAGACCATTTACCTTTGTCCTGTTGTGTTTTTGGAAATTTGAATCTTCTCTGTATCAATTTCTTTTAAATCCTTTTTTGTCTCACTGAATATAAATATAGTATAAATGATTATTCAGTTTAATGAAAAAGAACATGTATATGTGGAATAATCATTTACCTTTCCTTCACATTTGAAGCATATATCTGTTTCTTCTTGTCTTCTCTGAAATATTAATCATGGTTAGTAATGAAGAGTAATTAATATAAAAAAAACATTATTCTCCTTTTTTGAACAATAAACACTTAAAATATTACTAAGACATTTAAATTAAAATACATAATTTACATATCTTAAATTGTGCATTCCTACCCTAAAGCAAAATATTCCCTTCTGATTTTATAATACATATCCATTACTAACTTCATAAACAAAAACTGTCCAAAATAATTACACTTTATAACCAAATTTATTCTACATGTCCATTCAAAATTATATATTTTCTAACAAGATAGGTCTTCCATGTTTACCCCATGCTTCCTCCTTTCTTGTTTGATTTATCAAGGATATCTTCCATACTTGAACATGCTGGAGATTTCAAGATTGTAGAAATATCTCCAGCAGCTTCCCTATTTTCAGTTGGTGTCTTGGGATCACCAACTTTTGAATCAGATGCTGCAAACAAAATACATGAAAAAAATTTAATATAACTAGAAATGAACATTATACTTAATAATTTGATCATTTATTTGTAATATGTGAACATTGTACCACTCTTTGAATTTCCTTCAACATTTTCTTCTAATGCTTCAGATTTTGAACCTTCACCTTTGTTTAATGCTTTTTGTATTAATTTGCATTCACACATATATAGACTTAGTATCATTAAAGAAGAATATCTTACAATCACAAATGTTCATTTAATACTATATAAGTGAACTTTTTACCTTTTTTTGAATTTCCTCCATCTTGTGGTTCTTCAGAATTTGAACCTCCAACTCTTTCTGTTGATTTAAAATATATGAAATTGTTAATGTAAATGAACATTTGTTATTCTGAATATATACTTTTTTGAATATTTAGACTAAACAAACTTATTATTTTATAAATGAACATTATACTTTTCATAATTGTACATAGATATTAAAACTTTACCCTCTTCTGGCTTAGAAGAAACATTTGCATCAGTTGTTGTTGAAGTTGTGGCTGCAATATTAATCTGTGCTTCTGTGTTCAAATAAAATAAATTTTAATTCTTTAATTATATTATACTCTTTAAGTAAGGATATTCAAATTAATGACATTTTTAATTAAGCATATTTACCAGTTGTTGGAGTTGGGGGAGTTAAGTTGCAACCCAAACTGAATGCCTTCCTTATATCATATTCCTTCTCATTTCCTATTTTCTTTTTTTTCTGCTTCACTTGCCTCCATCAGATCCTTCTCAATTTGAGCTATGGCATTCAAAAAATCCTCTGATCCAAATATTTCTTCATCTCTGCTGAGAATTGATGGTTCTATTGCCATCTTTCCCAACACTTCATCTACCTTCTTGACCAACTGATTCCCAGGGAAGAGCTCTTTTGCCTTAACCAATTTGGTAGAAAGTCTTGCCAAAGATGCACCAACTTCTTGTACCATTGATGCAAATTCATTCATAAAGACCTGTCATTTATAGAACATATAAGAAAAATCATATAAGACATTATGTGTTTTGATATTGAACATTTCATAATTTATAAATGATCATTTTGTACCTTAGGATTGTCTTCAGGCTTTTCTTCTATTCTTGGAAGGACTTTTCCATATCCATAGTTCAAATCATTTTCTGTTTTTATCCTTTCAAGTGACATATCCCTTTTCCAACAAGAAATTATTGGAATTGTTCTTGGTTGTTTTTTGTTCAATCTTTGAACTCTGTCAAAGTAGAACAGCTGCACCAAAACCCATTACTATAAATGAACATATAATATAATACAAATGAACAATTAATATAAAAGATTAAAATTTTAGACGAAATCGATATTTAACATTTTGTTAATGAACATTCATTGTTACTAAAATGAACATTTTATAATTTACTATTGTGTGTTGTAAACTTACCATCAGAAATTGCAGTGGTCCATTGTAGAATCCTTTTCCTCCACTCTTTCTCCATGTCACATGGCAACTGATGAGAGAGTCAAACACGTACTGACACCAATTCAAGTTTTTTATTTTTTCTTTGTCCATCATAGAAAACAGAAACTTGAAATGGCATTGGTTGTTTGAAATACACTTCATCAAACAATTCACAGCAACTACCAAAAAGTTGGTGAGAAAATCTTCTTCTGCTGGCCTTTGGTTTTTGAATTTATCACTTGTATATTGAGCAATAATTTGGTTTATAGATGGTGTTTTGCCTTGCCATTTTGACCTCCAATTTTTTTATAAATACACCAAAATCTTCACTTGCTCTGTCTGATTTGGCTTCAACAATGGGAATGTCTCCCATTGGCAAACCATATACAATTCTCACATCCTCCACCTCAATTTCAATTTTCTCACCTTTAGGCAGCTCAAAACTACAACTACTGACTTCAAAGCTATCTAAAACCCAATGGCTGAATTGTTTGTCAAGCTGAGGAAGTTCTATATCCAACAACGGCCCCAGTCCTATTTCATGCACTAATTTCTTCTGTGTATCACTCATTTTCCAGCAGTATCATTAGTTGTAGCAGGGGCCTTTTTAGCAGCAATGACCTTGCTAACAGGAGCAGTTTTCCAGTTTTTTGTCAGTTTTTTTAGTATTCCTTGAGTTGACACTTTTAATTTTTTCCTGGCAACAGATAATTTATGATCAATAATATTTTAAATGTGGAATAGAAACATTTAATAAGTTATATATGTTCATACTTTTGCATTATGTATGAATGTGTTTCTTCAACTGCTGTTGGAGGCTCATCCTCTTTTGGAGGCTCTTCCTCTGCTGGAGGCTCATCCTCTGCTATAGCCTTCACTTGTTGTGTAGGCTGATCCTTTGCTGTAGCCTCTTTTGGAGGCTCATCTTCAGTTGATTGATTTCTGAAAATTAAAAATTGAAAATGATTAAAAATGCTTATCAACTAATATGAAAATGAACATTAGTTGATTTCTGAAAATACCCTGCTGCATCCTTTTTTGGTTGTAGTTGTTCAACCTCTCTTGTGTCTTTCTTAGGTGATTGATTTCTGAAAATCAATTAATTTCAAATAATTAAAAATGTTTATTAAGTAATATGAAAATGAACATTATGGGAATCAAATACCCTGTATTCACTAATTCTGATCCAGCCTTTTCTTGTTGTAGGTGATCAGTTTTTGCTTCCTCTTCAATTGTTTTTTTTATGAGAATGCAAATCATTAGATTATGTATGACAACTAAGAAATAAATGAACATTAAACACATTGAGGTAGAATATACCCTTGATTTGTTGATGCATCATCTATTTTTGAAGTTTCCTTCTCTTGTTCACTGAAATTTTTCGAATGTTAATACATAAAAGTATGATTATGTAACTGTATAAAAATTAATTATTGAATTTTTATTAAGTATTTATACCTTATTGATTGATTTTTCTCTGGCCTTGATCTTGACATTATAAATTTCACTTTCAACTTTTTTGGTTCACTAAAATTTTACAAATTATTTCAATTATGAGATTAAGTATTGAAGTAAATGATTGTACATTAAATATTACATATATGAATATTTGTAAGTATATCAACTTACTTGGGATGTAGGTTGTCTCCTAATAAATAGGGTTCCCACTTTTTTATAACTTCATTTCTATCCAATTTGTTGTCTATTTCATAACATTCTTTTCTCTCATGAATTATAGGATAAGGATTGAACATTCCATTGTCAAATTGCATCAAGTGTATCACTTTAAATGGTACATCACTACAATGTAAATTAATATTGTAAATCATAAAAATTGACATGATGTTTCTATGTTAGACAAATGTACAGAATAGTTCATATAAATGATCAATATAGTTGTAGCAATGAACATTTGTATACACATATATGGATATATATAACATAATATGAATTTTGACAATATAGTTTTTGTAAATGTTCATTTTACTACACAGATGAATAAAGTATATGTTTTCTATTTGTACAAAATGGAATTTAGAAATGAACAATTAATATGTCAGTAAATGTATACACATAAATTTAGAAATGAACAATTTAGAAACAAACATAAATTGCATGCTGTACACATAATATACAAATTTGAACATATGTATACATATATATGCACACATATATGCACACAATCCAATTTGAACATATACTGTTTTGTATTTGTTCATTATATTTCACAATACTATACTTTATATTTTTTTTGGTTGATCATTGAATCAAAATTATGCATACATTCCAATATTAACAGTAACTTTTTTAAATTTTTATTATCGTCTCAGAAATAGAGGAAAGTTAAGTTTATTTTGAAATTAAATAGTAACTTGTTTAAATATGAGCAAATTTAAATAAATTTATGCTTATAATTCCAAAAAAATAGTAATACTTACTTTGATTGTTCTGGAACTCCAGTATTTTCAATTTTTTTCCTGAAGCATCATCAAAAAGAAAAAAATACCAAAAAATTAGGGTTTTGTTTCGCAATTTTCAATTAATTTTACACTAAACATGTAAAACATACTTACTCATTAGATTTTTGGTTTGTTGTTGTTGAAATTTGTCGAGATTGTGCAATTTCATCTCTTATGTCGGACATTTAGACAATTTTACTTGCTAATTGCATGTACGAAAATGGAGTAGAGAGAGAAAATGGAGGTTGAGTGAGAAATTGGAGAAAAAGGATGAGAAAGAAAAATGTAATTATTTGAAAAGTTTTTTTTTTTTTTAATTATATATATATATATATGGGTGGGGTAGTGGGAAGTTACTGGCAGTTTTAGAGGGAAGTTACTGGAAGTTAGTGGTACGACGTCGTTTAGGGGGGGTGTAGGGATAAATGGCTAAACTAGAGTCTAGCCATAAATAGGCTTTTAAAACTTGGATATTTTTACCAATTGGGCCCTTAATCACCGAACTAAATTTAATTAGCTCGGTCTTGGGCTTCAAACATACGGTCATAAAATATAATCCAACTCTAATATTTTCGTAGTGGCTCAATAATCTCGAGAGTTGTCATAATTTTACAAATTCCTACAAAACAATACCAACTCTACAAAAACAATAGAAAATGTATATTAGTAATAAAAATAGCTCCGTAGAGCTCAAATAAGCACAAATATGACCGTGGGATGGGGAATAAAATATATATAAATTAGACTCATCAAACTCCCCCAAGCTAAACCTTTGCTTGTCCCTAAGCAAAACAATGAATAAATAAATCAATACTTAACCCCAAATACAATTTAAATCAATAAATATAATTCAAGGTACGTAATTTCGACAAATAAGTATCAAATTAAGTCAATTAATCAAATCCATCCAACTACCAATCTTCCTTAACAATTGACAAATAGATCAAACCATAAGAGCATATAGAATTCAATACTAGTGCTCACACACTCAACTCTCATTTATGTGGTGAGTAAAAGATGTACTCGATTGTTCTCCAACCAAACCTCTTTATATGTGAACAATGCCCTCCTAACTCACGCACTCGTGTGTTTATAAAGACACACACTCAACCTAATTGTCGACTCAAAATATGTCAAATCATTCTTCGCATTGATAAACAACTAATTTCACATCCATACAACTCTATGCACAAAGGTCGAAAGGTCTTCAAAGCTTTTAATGTAAGGCTTAGGTAAAGGGTAGGAAATATTTGGGAAAATGTGAGAGTAAAGCCATGCTTAAGGGAGCCAAATCCTAATAAAACCAAGGTAAAAAATAAATAATGACGATTAATCTCCAACTCAACTCAACTCTACAAAAATTCACCAAACAACTAAACCAACTTCTTCACAAATTTTCAACACTTACAACTTCACTCATACAAATACGGCATTATAAAACTTAAGTGAACATACAAACTTTGAACTTTTTTTTTTCTTTCTTTCTATTTGATATTTATTTTTTTGAATTTTTTTTCCTTTGAGCAACCTTCAATTAGAACACTTGAACATTGAAACAATTTTTTTTTTCTTTTTCATTCAACATGGAAATTTCAACTTTGAACAACAATTTTTCTATTTTTTTCTAATCAACATATAAGAACAAATAACTCCTCATATTCACCCACATTGTGCAAATTATGTGCACACCACAACTCGCTCACCTCACTCACTATTAGCTCCCCCAAGCCAAGCTTGGGACTTGTAACCAATGGGGCTTAAATTAGTTAAATAGGACTACAACTCGCTCACCTCACTCACTATTAGCTCTCCCAAGCCAAGCTTGGGACTAGTAACCAATGGGGCTTAAATTGGCTTGTAATGTGGCTAAATAAACAATAAAAAGGGCACAGGCAACAACATGGATAACAAGAAGGGAACAAATGAATCTAAAATCGTCTGAAGGCCACATAGAAGAACAAATGCCATCATCCTCCTCAATGTGTATAATAAAGAGTCATAGAAATATTACTCAAAGTTAAAACCAATACTCAACTTCATTGACATACCAGGAACTAACACATATTCCTCACCAAATCAACTAGTCAAGCACTATATTCATAAGTAGTTGGGAAAAATTGACGCATGTTAAGATTTCAAGGCAATCAAACATCAAATGATGATCAACTAATCCACAATATTTATCATCAAAAACCAAGAAACAAAATAATTTTGAAAAAATTTCATCAAAGGGCACTGGGAACTATGATTTATAATTCATTGGAACGAATTTTTGGATATTTTTTTTATTTTAACAGAAATAAAAACTACCTAAGAAAGTAATAAACTAAACTAAGCACACCCAAGAAAATAAAAACAAAAGGGAAAGAAAGAGTACCAATATATACAATAAATCCCCTCCAAGCTAAATTAGACAATGTCCTCATTGGCTTAAAGGGAAGCTAGTAATCCAAGCGACTACATCTCAACATCACCACCATCCCAAGTATCACAATGCATCAATTTGGTACAATTTTGAGCAAAATAGAAACAAAGTGTTAATAGGAAAAGAGGCAAAAACGAGTCAGGTTCACTATTTCGATCATAACTTTTTTTTTATATAAATGATAATGTAGTGATTCTAATTGCATTGGAAATAAGACTTGAAGAGCTTTCTAACGATAGGTCACACGCAAAATTTCGTTAAGAAACGCAAAAGTTATGGCATTTTGAAGTTGGCTAGTTTTGCTGACGCGCTCTCGCGCCCGATTGGGCCCGCCTTCAAGGTCCGAACTGGCGGTTCTTCGCTGCTGCTTGCACGAGACTCCTTTTTGGACTTAATTTGCTTCGATTTTTCGCTTGATTGAGCAAATGTCACTCGATCAAGTGGGACTTTCATTACGGGCTCGATTCTCGCAACTTGCTCATTTTTCTCCACTTGTTCATCTTCAAACCCAAGCCCTACACAATTTAGAGCTCTTTCTATAGCTTCCACTTCATCTCTAGCTCCATGTATTAGTTTTTCCCGTGGAAGATGCAACACGAAATACCGGTTCCAAGGGATCTCTAACGAGAGCTTGGGCTTTATTAGAAAAATTATTTACATTAACCACACCAATACAAAAGCACTTTTCCTCTAACATGAGACTTTTAAAGACATTATTCAGATTAAAAGTAACATTATCATCCCCTACCGATAGTGTAAGTTTACCACTGTTCATATCTATTATTGCCCCCGCAGTATGAAGGAATGGTCTACCCAAAATAATCAGAATTTGCA